TATATATATAATAATTTATTACGCGTTTATGTAGGCTATGTATTATTATTATTATTATTATTATTATTATTATTATCAGATTTCAATACGGACATTTTGTGGACAGTCTTATACGGTCACAATCTGAGGTCGGTTCTGATTTATGGACGACGCTTACACTCAATCACCAATTCCAGCTCCTCCGACAGCACGCTAAACTGAGGGCAATGTGTCCACTTGGGCTGAAAGCCGGTGTTAGGTTGCAGCGCAGTAGCATTTGCCTTATAGATATAGCAGACTCTGAATACAAATGGTCTTCTCTAAGTGTATGCTGTATCAATTCTCACCGCTCACAGGTAGAGTCTGTCTGTATAAATGCTTTATCTTTTAAATGGCACATTTAACCGCCCCGATGAAAACAATCACTGAAAGTAATGTGTTTAGCTTTAGCTTATTTGACCATTTAACACGCCCCCCTCTACAGACAGAGATTAAATAAACATCCACGTTGTAGCCTAAATACTGTACATATATTGTTCACGTTTCTTGAAAGATAAACTAGGCCAAGGCAGTGTAGAAAATATTAGAAATCCGCTTTCATTGTGGATCGGTTGTATCTTAATATTTAAACCTGCTAAACTCACTTATTCAGTCAGACGCTTTCCAGAGCGCCGCTTTAATGATTGTTGTCAAATCATATGATTAATGACTCCACAACTGCAGCATTAGCTGGAACACTGAGTTATTTTATGTTTTTTTTCAATGACCAAACAGACATAAGACACAGGGAGGACACGTAGTATATAATATAATATAATATAATATAATGTTCTTTCATATTTTGTCAAGGATTCTTATGTGTGTGTAATTGGTAGGTGACATAAGTGAATGGCATAAACAATACATCTCAGTTCCAAGTAATTTCTGATTTTTACGAATTCTTTCAAATAGAATCAAAACATCAAAAAACAATTGTACATTGTTATACAAAATGGTTCATTTTGAGGTGTGTGTATGTGTGTGCAACATCCTGATTAAATTAATCATCCTCAAATCCCTAAACCTCTAAATTAGAGTAATTTGGGAGATAATTAGTCCTGCATTAAGTCATTTGCGGAGACCAATATAATCTGGTTTTATTGCTTTACATCTGTGGTACAGAGTTACAAATAATTCTTGTGCGAATATTATGCAAATTCCCACCAGGCGTCACACACATCCTCAGGGTAACTTTGAGAAATAATTAAAATGAATGAATACATATAAACACACATATAATAAATTTAACCTATAATATTATCGAAAATGCAATTCATGATGATAATTTGCATTTGCCGTGGGCTGCAATGGTTTGTAAATGTATAAAGGTGTTTATGAGCGAGTGTAGAGAATGAAAAGAGGGTGTTTGTGTGTGTGTGTGTGATGCTTCACTTGTGGTCTCCATGGTCTTGTACAGCACAGATGAAGGTTACCAACTCTCTGTGTCAGTGTGCAGGTTACGGTTTCTGTGGTCACAATGGCCTCTGTCTAGGTTTAAATGTCTGTGTGTGTGCCTGAGTGCAGACTTTGGCTCAGGCTTATTCTGATATATTACCATTTGATCCTTCAGTTTCCTGCCATTGATCAAACCCCACCTATTCAGCTGATGGGCCAGAGGAGAAACTCGATCACCTAATAAGAAAGAAGCAGAGGAGAGAGAAAGGAGAAATTGAGAGAAATGGTACAAGCCTTCACCACAGCCTCTTCTTTTTTCCATTCTTTCCTAAAATACATTCCCCTCTGTGCATCTCAGTTTTACTGTATCTGCTTTACATTTATACATACTTAATTCATCAGCAACATAAGCTGCCTGTGCTTTGCATTCAGAAATACTATCAGGTGATTGACAATATTTAGCTTATATTTAGCATCTTTCCAAAACTACAAAGTGTTGTAGTGTTCACACACAGCAAAACCGTCATGTATATGTGTCGCTTAACTACAGTCATTACAGTATCATATTTACTTGATGGTTATTAGCTGACAGATCTGTCATTAAGGCAAATATCAGGAGAGTGGCAGTTCTGTGGACTCATTTTACAATGACATACATCATCCTTGTCTTCTCTTTTACACTTTTAAACACACATACACACTGAGACACTGAGTGACAGTAGATCAGCTCGCCTGGCCTTATGGAGGTCATAACCCACACCATCTGGATCTGATCGCGCCATGCACAGAAAGGTGCTGTTTTTGCAAGGTATAGCCTCTTTAGCAGTGGGAACCTGCTACTTAGTGAGTCTCATATTGGACTGTTGAAGCTGGGCATCTGAATGCATATTCATACTTCTGTGCTGCTGAAAGACAAGTGTAATGTTTGGAATTAGTGTATGGAAAATTCAGATGTTGGCACATTTTTTGTGATAATTTAGCCGTCCAGTGTAAATGTAGAAAACATTATATTCTCCCATGTGAAGAGGGAACGAAAACAATGACATAATTTTTGGTCTTTTCCTGTAAAAGAAAACGTTGACCTGCGTCTGTCAGGAAGCTGTTCAAGTCTATGCTTGGCCTCAAGAGCTCAAGTCATTCACTCCAGCGGTGTAGCTGTCAATTACTGTCCTTATCGGCTTACAACTGGAGAAGGTGAGCGAGTGACAAACCTCTCTTTGAGGTTTTAGGTTACACAATATGGTGGTAACAAACTGTCACTGGGCTCGTCGAAGAACCTGGGGAATTCCCAACGTGGGTCAATGCACATAGTGTCTGATTCCAGAAGGTTTGGACAAGATTATCTCTTTGCAATGAACTTAAACTTCAAGATCAGTGTATTCAGTATTCAAAAGGGGTTTTTAGTCCATATAATGCTGTGAATGCTCTGCATTCAAGAGAATGAATTTGTGGACTGGCTAAAAAGGAAAATTACTGTAAATTTACTTGCCATTTGAGGTGTAACATAAGGATTACATAATAAATTGTTAGGAATACATACTGTATGTATGTATGTATGTAACTGTAACTGCCAAACAACAGTAATTTTCTGCAAATCTGTGCCAGTTATGGAAGGATTTGTTTGATCAGATCCACTACAGCTTTGCCGCCTATGCTCTATTGGATGAATCGTAATTGTGAATCACTTAACCAAGTGGAAAAGTGTGCTGTTGCTGCAAGATCTCGATTACTGAAAAGCACATTGCATTTGATGTAAGCTAACTCAATTGGAAAAGTGTTTTTTGGTTTTCAAGCAAAGGTAGGGCTGTGCGATGTGGCCAAAAAAATGATCATGATACAATTTTTCATATCAGTCGATATTGATAATTATCACAATAAATTTCAAATATTTTTTTCTTTAAAGGTTAAAGGCAGATTTTCTTTTCCAGTTATTTTACCTTAACAAAATAAATATCTTAATAGAAAAATGTATTTCTTCGTTTCTGCATGTTCTAATTAGTGATATTGTTTCAATTTATGAAACAGGTTTGTGTTGCCTGAATTTGAGGATACAGATCTTCAGCACAGTTTGCAGTTTTAGTAATTTTTTGTCTCTTAGAAATGCACATTTGACAGTCGTTTGAGCTGACAGTTGAAGTAGCTTGAGTTAGGATGCAGATGCAAATTTATCTTCATTATCAAAAAAAGTATCATCTGTAAAAATTGTAACAACCTTATTTTCATATCATGAAATTTCATTATTCTTACTGTTTGAGTTTTTTTGTTTAATTAACCATTGGTCTTCCATAGTAGCATACATTTAGATCATGATAACCACAGTTAAAACCTCCATACCATAGTAAAACTGTATCTGTATGGTTTTTAGGTATTGTATGAAAAACAATAGTGTAAATACATTTCATATAAATGCACAAACACTATAGCTTAATCTAAAAAATACTGTAATTATATTCCATTACTCCTTTAATACATGAATGTCCCACATTTTTTACACAATACCATAATGCAGTAAGTATTACTACAGTAAACCCATGGTAAATTATGGCAATTTGTAGATTGAAAAGCCTTCTGAGTGTATCATTGCGCACAGTGTATCTCCTGTTTGTTAGCACTGTTTCATCTCGCTTAAACTAGTTCAAATCACACGCTATTTTAGTTATTCGCTTAATTCAAGCGAATTACAATGGATCTCACAGTGTCGCGTGACCGAGACTCATCAGCGAGTGAATGCATCTGCACTAGTAAACTCGCGCTGCGCTGCCGTTTGAACTTAGAGATGAGTGGATAAACAGTCCATGTGGCGTGGTTCAAATGTTTCGTTCCACTTTTGGAGCATAAACGTTATATTGAACATTTATCGAACTCTTGATATCGTTTTATTGAGGAAATTATCGATTTATCGCCCAGCTCTAAGCAAAGGTAATTTTGAAAGTCCACTGAAAACATCATCTTACATTTTTCTTTTTCTTTTTGTCATAGACAAATTATGTTACAAGTTACAAATTATTTGACAATATGCTTGAGCAAAATAATTTTTATTCCCCATGCGTGACAAATATTGTGTGTAAGCCTGTGGGAAGGCATTGCCACCTGAAGGTTATTCCTGGTGGCAACAGCACTACATTTAAATCAACACCTGCCATGCTGTTTCTTATTTGATTCTCTGATAAATTAGATAGCGTATCCAGTTAAGTCATCGCATGCCACTGGTATTCAGAGTGTGAGACTATTGCCATTGAAGTGAGGATTGCGCTAAAGGCTATGTGTTGATCTGTCTCTTTTTCCTTGTTGACTGGATTTAAAAAAAAATTCTAGACTATTATTAAGTACCACTGCAGTAAATCGGTGGCACCTTAAATGCTGAAGCCGAAATATGAAGTTGGGTCTCAGTAGCCCATGTCCTTCTGAGGAGTCTTGTGGTGCCCTTGTCACAACGGCACTGACAAATAGTCAGGCTCAAATAACAGCACACTGCCACTGTCAGTTCCACAGAGACATGTAAACAATATTTTGATGAAACTAAATTAAGCGTGTAAACGTTTCTCTCCAGAACCACAGCAGACCAGCACACTATTCTACCTGTCACTGCAGTTGCCTAAATTTCACATTTCTTTTGCTTTGTCTATAACTTTTGAATTATATAGCCAGAGAGTATGTGAGGCAGTGAACAGAATCAGGCTTACGCCACAAAATGTATGTAGATGGGAAAACTGTGCCAATTTGAATCTAAAATATGAACATAAAGTGTTTATGATTTTATTCCCCTATATTTTTCTGCAACAGATTTATTAGATTATGTAGATTCAATTTTAATTTTAGATAGCATTTTTTACTGTAACATGCTGATGTTCAGGATTTTTGAAGCATAGCACATTATTGAAAATATCTTTTGTATAATTACATCCTATTTAAATATTAAAGACTTCGAGAGAAAGTCAGAAACTGGTGTTCAATAATGTAATGTTCAGCAAAACACCCTCTTTATTGCACAGCTGCAATTTCAGTTGATATTGATATCATATACAATTTTAAATATATTCAATGCAATGTATCCAAGTGATGTCAGTTTATTAAGCTATAAGGAAGATATTTAGGTTCTACAAAGAACAGTTTTATTACCAAAAATGAAGCAATCTCAATTTCAGATTTAGCTTAAAAAAGAAAACATCGCAGCAAATGATCTGTTTGCAAAAGTCTGTTAAAAACCTGTTCCTAATTGGTTAAAACAATTTCACTGTTGACCAAAGATCACTCCAAAGCATCAATGGTTGCCATTGTTGGTGAAGAAAAGCTGAAAGAAATGGGAAGCAATAAAACCACCCAAGGGCTCAGATTTCTTCCTCTTTATTCATATCTCCCTCTAAAGCAATTATCCATTTAGTTTGCTAATTTAGCTTTTCCTTTTCGTCTAGCATGAAGCAGGGAAAAATTAAGACCTCAAACGGAGAAAAAAAGACATCTTATCAGAATACATCAGCCTGCCATCATAACTGTAAGTGATGGTTATTACTCTAAGGGTCATTTCACTGTTTATGCTATTTCACAATATTGTTAAGCGGCTCGTATTTTACTTGTGACAAAACATCAGTCTGTATCTTTTCAGCAGAATCTTAAAGTAAATAAACGGGGCCCTACCATAGCACTCCCCTACTGAGAGCAGCTACGATTGCCCCATCACTCTTTATTATTTCTCTAGTTCACTTCTTGCTTTTATGCACTTTATTAAAAGCTGTAAAGTTAAGTGTCTTTTATATAAAATATATACAAACTTTACTTTATTAGACCACAAGCTATAGTTTTACTGTTTGACAAGAAAATAAGTTGAAGTGGAAAAGGTCACATTGCTCAGCTCAATCCAGAAGGCATTCAAAATGTCACTGTATCTGGCTAAAGATATCCTTAACAGCATCGATGCATCAACAGAAGCCGGACAGATGGGCTAATGTAGGTGTAATGCAACAAGCGGGAGCATGTTTTTATTACCACGTAGCCCAGTGTTTGCGCAGTTTCTTGATTTTCTAAAGCCCACGATGACAGGCCCACTCTTTGAGCCAAGCCCCAGCAGATGTCCAAACATGGGTTAATGTAACCAGCAGGACCCGTGCACCCACCAGCACACAGAAAAAAACATGGTGGCCAAAGCAGAATTACTCAAATGGAATAGCCAATGATTTCACACATCTAGGAAACAGAGAGTTTAACGTAATGGTGTTGTTTAACAGTTCTAAACAAAGCAGACCATCCTTAGCCCAGCGCAATCCCGAGAGGACGCATTTATGTGACTTTCTCTGCAGGAAGCATTGTGATCAGTCGCTTGACTTCTGACCCATAAGTGAGGGAAGTGAAGGAGGGAAGTATGTGCGTGTGGGTTTCAGAGCCGTTCAACCAAAGTAAATGTATATCTTCTATACATATCAATATTACTATCACAATTAAAAACTATTTAATTTTAATATATTTAAAAATGTAATTTATTCCTGTGATGGCAAAGCTGAAGATGCTATAAAGGAAGAAAGTGAGAGAATGTCTGAGACAGAAAGGAAAAGGGAGCTCTGTGTGGATGGATGGGCCTGCAGGCCGTAGGGACCGGTGTAACAGCCTCTCATTCTCAGGTGTCCAGTCGATAACTGATGCATTATTCTAGAGCTCTGTGCCGGTTTTGGGTTTAAATACACATTTTCTTAATACAACATGACCCCATTTCCCTCTCTCATTAATCATGAAAAGCAGTTAGACTGGCCCCCTTGGTCTCTGACAAAGGGGGCAAACCTACTGTTGAACCCTTCTCACACTGCTCACATTGACTCTTATGGGCCTGTTGACTGATTACAACTGCTGGTTGTTCACAGTGTTACTAAAAGTTAAAGGGATACTCCTCCTGAAAATGAAAATCCTCTCATCATTGACTCACCCTTATGCCATCCCAAAGGTATATAACTTTCTTTCTTTCACAAACTGAGGTTTTTAGAGAAATAATCCATCTCTGTGAGTCCATATAATGAATTGGTCCCTCAAAGCTGATGCTTTAAAAAACATGCAAAATGAACACCACTGTAATCCATGCACTGAAAAAAACAATGACCTTGAAACAGTTTTCAATAAATTGTTTGCGAATATCACAAATAATCATGAGGAAATGGCATTTAACACATTGAAATAAATCTTTGTAATCTTTACTAAATCCATTTTTTACAGTGTTTGACCCCAGTTGATTAATTTGTCTTCAGAAGCAAAATTATATTTGTGTGAGAAAAAAAATACTACTATTTTTAACTTTTTAAAATATAAACCATTGTTTCCAGCCATGAGGGTGTGTAAATGATGAAAGTATTTTAGATGGAGTATTCCTTTAAACTATGTTAAACTATACATTAATTTATGTGTTTAGTTGTGGCCTCAATATAAAACCTACTAAACCTAAAAGGCCTACTTTTAAACTTATTTATTTTTGTATTTCCTGTTAAGCCTAAACCTGGACATCCTTGAACTTGAAGGGCTTCTGCACAGCACTGCAACTAATATGCGGTTTCCAGAGCATTTGGGTTCAGTATCTCTTAAAGGTACAAAGCCTTAAAAGCCATCTGCCTCTACACTAATTCCTGTGGTTTGTAAATGTTTCATGAAGTTTTGTCTACTGACATCTGTGACACATGCACGTAGCTATAAGACACACGTGAGGGGGTGATTTTCTCATTATATTTCAGGTCTTCAGGACTTTGTCATCAGCTCATGGATTCTAGTTGTTTGCTGTTTGCAATTGGTGTATTTCCAGTCACCCACAAAAGCTTGTCCGTTCTCTTACCCAGCAGCCCTCAGTCCTTCGGTAGTCACATGTGTCAGATATTCCGCTGTGACTAAACATTTCTGCTCCCCTTGGTATACACAATTTGAATTCCTCAATTCATCTTATAAACTTGTTTGTGTAAGTAAACACTGTGCCTTACGGATACAGGTCACGATCATTATCCATAATTTCAACAAAATGGTACCAGGCAGGTCTTCAGAACAGGCCATGTGTTATGTCTGATGGCCAGACAAAGAGGTAATAATGGCGGTATTTTAAGCATGCCGCTATGTCAATAGTTGTAATGTTACCCACACATGCATACACATGCGCTTTAAATGTTCAAATTTAGTTAGACTAAAGCTGTCAAAAATTTAAAATGTTATGTAAACACTTTATTCAGTCTGAAAAGTGTGTGTGTGTGTGTACATGTGTGTGTGTGTGTGTGTGTGTGTATATATATATATATATGTACACACACACACACACACACACACACACAAACATTTACATTAACTATAAATACATTTACATTTACTCTATACGTACAGTTTCAGTTTTTGCAATTGTAATGTACATTTTGTTCAAAGATTATTGTCTGTTAACAACGTATCTTTCTATGTTTGTACCTTTCATTTTAGTTGGACCATAGTTAGTAAAAATTAAAAATGTAATGTAAACACTTTAGTCTGTCTGAAAAGTACCAAATATATTAAACCAATTAAATATTTGTGTACATAATATAAATATTCAAATATTCAATAATCTTGTTCAAAGATTATTATATTATCTGTTAACAATCTATCTTTGTACGTGGTGTTTATATAATGTTTAATAATATCTAATGTTGGTATATTGGCACAATTTCCATTTTTTAAACACATATCCACTATTTTTATGTATTTTATTTGTATTTTTTTTTTACAGTTGTACTAGACTGAAACCGTACCTCAGACCTCAGTGTTGTGTTTTCTCTGTAAGACTGTCTGAAAGACAATCCTATCTATATTTGTTTACACATTGTGTCACATGTACTTGGACTGAGAGGAGCCTGGCGATGAAAAAACCTGCTGTAGCTTGAACATAACTGTGTATATTATTGTACTTAGATGTGAACGATAGTTGTTGATGCTGCTTGTTTGGCGATCTTTTAATCTATTGCCTGATTATTAGAATAGTCAACAGCTAGCGTAATATCCCAATTCATCATTCTATCTCACAAAGTTATGCTTTCACCCCACATCTTAACGGAAGTCTCTGTTTTCCTTCTCTCCTGGAACTGGGACTATCCCTCTCGACCCCCATCCCTCTCCCATATACAGACTGTACCACTGCTTCATTTCTCTTTTTCCTCTCGCTCTTTCTCTCTCTCGCTCTCCCTCTCTGCCTCCTCCCTTGGTGCTCACTTGGGCGGGCAGCTGAATTCCTGTGGGCTATCCGGTTACCGGTTGCCGTGGAAACCGGTGGGAAGGCAGCTCCATTAATCATTTAGAGCGCGCCCGAAGTGGAGGTCAGCCTGATTGCAGCGGATAGGGTATCATCCCTGTGTCCCACCAGGGACCTCCTTGATTTGAATTAAAAAAGATTAAGCTCACCCCCCCTCGTGCATCCCTACCACCGTGGCCCACCATCATCATCGGCCCAGCCGTATCATGTGACCATGCTCCACGGAGCCACGCGGATTAAGAGATCGGAGCTATGCATTTGTTTTTTAAACACATATCCACTATTTTTATGTATTTTATTTGTATTTTTTTTTTACAGTTGTACTAGACTGAAACCGTACCTCAGACCTCAGTGTTGTGTTTTCTCTGTAAGACTGTCTGAAAGACAATCCTATCTATATTTGTTTACACATTGTGTCACATGTACTTGGACTGAGAGGAGCCTGGCGATGAAAAAAACCTGCTGTAGCTTGAACATAACTGTGTATATTATTGTACTTAGATGTGAACGATAGTTGTTGATGCTGCTTGTTTGGCGATCTTTTAATCTATTGCCTGATTATTAGAATAGTCAACTGCTAGCGTAATATCCCAATTCATCATTCTATCTCACAAAGTTATGCTTTCACCCCACATCTTAACGGAAGTCTCTGTTTTCCTTCTCTCCTGGAACTGGGACTATCCCTCTCGACCCCCATCCCTCTCCCATATACAGACTGTACCACTGCTTCATTTCTCTTTTTCCTCTCGCTCTTTCTCTCTCTCGCTCTCCCTCTCTGCCTCCTCCCTTGGTGCTCACTTGGGCGGGCAGCTGAATTCCTGTGGGCTATCCGGTTACCGGTTGCCGTGGAAACCGGTGGGAAGGCAGCTCCATTAATCATTTAGAGCGCGCCCGAAGTGGAGGTCAGCCTGATTGCAGCGGATAGGGTATCATCCCTGTGTCCCACCAGGGACCTCCTTGATTTGAATTAAAAAAGATTAAGCTCACCCCCCCTCGTGCATCCCTACCACCGTGGCCCACCATCATCATCGGCCCAGCCGTATCATGTGACCATGCTCCACGGAGCCACGCGGATTAAGAGATCGGAGCTATGCATTTGTTTTTTAGAGACTCACTGAAACATTAGATGTGCACAGGTGTCTACAACAAGGAGCCCAGGAGCTTGTGTAAGAAATGGACAAAGACCGTGCGCACCCCTCCTGGGCTTATACCGCTATATTTTCTTTCTTCTTATCCTCCTTTTCTTATATTCTCTCAGTTACTTGTTGCTGCTCTTTGTCAAACTGGAAGCAATAACTCAGTTTTACTCTCCCACTGACATTTCCCTCTCTTTCAAGCCTATGAAATTGTGCATTTGTTGCAAAACCTTTTTATAACTTAATAGGAATATGATTTTTACGAGTGTGTAGGACAGCTGCTGCTGGCCAGGGAGAACCGAGGCTAGACGTGTGCGTGGGCGAAGTCGCTGTGACATCTCTAGGGTCGCAGTCCACAAAAGCCTGAAGCCTGTCTGGCTGGGAAGGGATCACCTAGATGAAATGTGAAGAGCAGTGAAATGACCAAAAGCGTTAGTCCCTGTGAAGTGGCCCTTGGGCCTCTGCTCGCCGGCCCCCTGTTCCATAATGACGGCAGCATGAGTTTAGATTTATGAAGCCTATGTGGGAACGACATGGAGAGCCATCAATCATCCAGGCTATGAAATAGTGGCACAGCCAACTCCGCCGCAGTGGCTCCCAAAGGTGCCCGCCAAATTTACGGGCGCCTGTAGCACTTCAAAAACTTGCCATAACTTAAATCCAGACGATTTTATCGTTCCGTAGAAGCAGAAAGGTAGATACGAGGAAGGTGAGGGAGAAGATAGATGGGCTGGGGAAAAATTACAACCTCCTTCATGTTAGTCAATTAAAATTCCAATGAAAGCCACTTTCAGGAGTTTGGGAATCTGCATTCTGCGTACTGTA